TTTAAAAAAGGCTACCGGTTTCGAGGTCAAACTTTTTCATCTCGAAACCGGTAGTCTTTTTTAAAAAAATAAAAGGATTGTGAGAAATTGGACTTTTCTTCTTATTTCTAAAATAAGTTATAATGAAAAACTCACATTTATCAATTTTGAATTTAGTTCATAGAAGAAAAAGGAAAATGGCATCCTTACAAAGTTACGACGCGACGGGTCAAATTTTGTAAAATTTTAATGGACAAAATTAACCGAAATCCGATGTTTCTAAAAAGACTTCTTTTTTATGATGGTGCTACATTCAAACATGCCGGCATTGACCTATTGACTGAAAAGCGACATTGGATGGAAGAGTATCACACTCACTACTCAGAGAAAGTGAAAATTTGGGCCGGAATAATGGAAATAGGATCACAAAATCATACTTTTTGGAAGGAACTGTCATAGAATATGTTTCGAATACGCTCATCAATACGAAAGAGCGACATTAAGAGCACGAATACATACAAGACAGACCTCTACAACATCCGTAATAGCTCTGCAACATATAAAAATAATTTGTGCGATTTAAAAAAAATCGCAGATATTTCTAAAATCCCAACTCGAAGCTCCGTAGACGACGTGATCATCCTCCGATGTAAGCAGCTACAATACAAAAAATCGCCAATCTTTCCAAATTCTCGACCGTCGAGCCGCCAGGACGAGAGAAAGCACACTAAACGTCCCCATTCCATTAGATGATAACAACGACCTATGTAAAGGCCTCCTCTGAGATAGCCGACGGGAGACGAGGAAAACGAAAATTTCGTTCAACTTTCGAAATTTTCGCGAAATGAATTTACTTCGCAATTCACTCACCAGATCTCCGAGTCAATATTAACTGTGTTAAATTTCATATAACAAACCTCCAGACCAGGCAGAAGTGCAAACGTCGCGCACCAGAGTGGGATGCCACCAGACCGGACCTCACAGCAGCCTGAATACTGAAATCCACCCCGCCAACGCTGGCGAGTGAACGTGCACCCTTGTCATTTGCACTTATTTAACCAGGGCGTAGTACCTAGCCAGAGTGTGACTCGACAATCTAAAACAATTCGTATCCGAAACAGAATTTCTGTTCTATCACACATCATACAAATAAGGCACATATTTAAATCTCAATTATCATTTCTTTACACAAAAATTCTTAAACTCGAGCTTAAACGCTCTCAGCTATACGCTGAAAACAAAGCTTCTTACAAGCTTTCGAAGAGGTACTCTATGGAGTCCGTACACTTTTTTCAACGTGTCGAAAGTTGAAAAAAAAAACAGTGTTAGTGACAAAGGGGAGAAACTGACAGGTCTCTTCAACCGGGAACTAGCGGAAATGAGGCAAATCCGCGTCCAGCCGCCCAACGTGGGGCCGCACCAGAGGACAGACAACCTATCTAAGGATAGTGATTTTCAGACACTAGGGTATCAAACCCAAAAAAAGTACTATACAGGATTAATCTAAAAACCCGAACCAAAAAAAAAAGTAAGAAAAAAGCCAGTGTTAGTGTCAAGGGAGAGATCAACAGATCTCTTCAAACTGGATCTAGCGGAAATAAGGCAAACCCGTGTTACCCAACACCCTGTATATATATTTTCATATTATCTGTATATTGTTTTAACAATTATTTACTTATAAGTGTCTATTATTATTATGCTGACAATAGTAAATCGCCTGCTGAGTTGCTAGCTGATAATAAATCTCATATAAACCCAACCAGCCGCTCAGGAGGACGAATATAGATTCAGACTTCACGTTGTTAGTTGTAATTAGACAAATAAAAGTGTATTCTTCAAAACTTGTTATAATTTAAAGTTATCTACGGTTAGTGCTGTTGAAATTCATCAGATCAGAACTGCTAGGGGTTGGTCAACTAGCCGCAGCTTCCCTGTAGACAATGAACCAATAAAATCCCGCGTCCTGGCGCCCAATGTGGGGCCGTACCAGAGGATAGGCAACCTACCTACCAGACGATCAATCTGGGGCCTTGTTGCAATATGAAGCTGAGACCTACGTCGTTCTTCAACATGGCGCTCAAGGTGGGACTCGAACTAATGATGAACCGAAGCTCTCATACATCCCACGCCATAGCGTTCCACAAGTCATACCAAGTCCACGACAGAACTTTAATAGGTCCTCGAAATTTAGAATTTCTGCAAAACGATTTGCTCCCCGAACTGAATCGGTTGTTTTCAAACATAAATAGAAGACACTATATGGATAACGTCCTTCGAGAAAGATGGATAGGGCGAAGAAGATCGATTGAAGCTATGTCTCCAGACTTAACTCCTCTAGATTTTTTTAGGGGATATTTAAAAATAGACAACACAATCTAAATGCATTAAAATAACGCATTCGGACGGAGATGGCACAAACAACTCTGGAATTTATTGATTGAATAGAGAATTAAAGACCTTTCAAAAGAACTATCACATGATCCATATTTACATTAAAAAAACATCGATGGCGTTACTTTTAAAAATAAATATTGACCTGTTTCAGGATTTTTGTCTAAAGTCACCGATTTACGAAATAATGAACTCGCACCATACTATGCAGACTGAGAGCCTTGCATGTTTCTTGACTTCATGCTTAATTAAAACTTCAATCGATTCTATTTTGCTGGTGATGGAGCAAAAAAGGAATAAGTTCAAATTCCAGAAAACGTGATAACAGTGTTGTAAAATTACCTGCATCTGACGTATAATATAATAAATTTCACCTAACCGCAAATGAGTTTACAGCAGGAACGCGGAGGTCTATAGAAGAAAATAGTTGCGGTAGGTTATTAATTGATTTGTCCCTCACTCGAAACTTTGAAATGGCTGGTATTTCGGAAGTTTAGCAAGTAATACTCTGTATCGGTTGCCTAATTATTTCCTTTGGCAATTACTAAGTTATATCTAGACCGTTCTAGGAACAGAACAGCAGTATTTTATATAAGATGAGAGAAACTAGGAAATATTATTGAAAGTAGAGAGGCAACAGGAAAATAGGAAACATTACATATTTTGTCTGTGCTGTGGTAAACAATATTTTTCGTTCCAATATGTAAGTTACATAAAAGATAACGTGAGCACGATATTATCCTTATAATACATTGTAAAAAGATCGGTCTGAGTGAGAGCGAAAAGGTACGGAGTGAATCCAATGAGTGACATTATTGAGGAAATTTTCAGTCAATTTTGGACATTTTGATAATTTTACAAATTTGTTTTTTTTAATCAAGACCTTACAACTGAAGCAAATTATGTGTGACTTATCCAAAGCTTTCGACTTAATGTTTACTGTCATACTTCTTCATAAACTCGAGTTTATGGAGTTAGATCCAGTGCATTATATTTACTTGTATCTTATCTTACAAATAGGAAGCAGTTCGTTGCGATGGTAAAGATTATAATATTGTTCCTATAAATAATAGTGTACCTTAAGGGTATGTTTCGGGACCCCTACCTTTTCTCGTCTATTTTAATGAGCTTTGCAGTGCTCTTGATGGCCATTGAGTATTATTTGCAGATGACACTACAATCTTATGAAATAGTGATACTCAATTTAATGTTGAAAAAGCTAAACAGTGAAACTGCTAGATATAAGGCTGGAAAATCACCTAAACTGGAAAGAACATATTGACATTTCGTGTTCAAAATTATCTACTCAAATATTCGTAGTACGATAACTTAAAAATTGCTTGTTTTAAGATTTTCTTAGATCTATTTGTTTCTCTCTAATAAATAGTCACCTTTCGTCGAAATTCTCTATGACTGTTTTGCATAAATGCGGCTGAATTTTGTTGATACAGCGCTCAATTTCCTCCTTCAAGGTGTGGGTAGTCGTGAGCTTGTTGGCAAAAACCTTAGACTTCAAAAAACTCCAAAGAAAAAAGTCAAACAACGTTAAATCGCATGATCTGGGTAGTTAATTCTGATTATCAAAGTGGGAAATTAGACGACCAGGAAATGACTCGTGCAATAATAGTTGAATCGTTTCTCGGGCTGTATGGTATATAGCACCGTCTTCTTGCAACTACATATTGACTACGCCCATATATTGCAATTGAAGCACATAACGAGCACAATTAACTATTATTGTCTGACCAGCCGCATTTTTCAAAGAAGAATGCTCCGATGATGCCTCCAGTGCAAAATTCGCACCAAACGGTAACACGTTGTGGATACATTTGTTTCTCAACAATCACTCGTGGATTTTCTAAACCTCAAAATGTGACCATTTTGTCGATTAACGAAGCCATCGAGATGAAAATGAGCCTCATCGCTAAAGATGATTTTGTTCGAAAAATCATGTTTAATAATCCATTTAACGAACTTTCTACGGTCTGCATGGTTAGTTAGTCAACTGAACTTTGTAAACACGAAGATGCAAATCTTTTGTGAGAATACGCTATAGCGAGCTTCTAGAAATGTCCAGTTCTTGACCATTGTGCCGAATTAACTTGGACTCTCAGCAACACTCTCACAAACTGCTTCGATGTTTTGTGTTCAACGACTTGTTGAAGAACGGCCAGAATGTTTAAGATTAGTAATTGATCTATACCCGTGTACCATAAAAATGGGCAGTGATTCATATCCAGCATTTAGACTAGTAAGGGATGTAAGGGATGCACAAGATTCCATAGGCGTATTACTTAAGAAGGGGTCAAAGAACCAAAAATTATAAAAAATAAGTTCATGGTGAATATTTACTTAAAAATCTTATAGACTCACCTGTCATCCTCTCCACAATTGTTGAGTGCCATCTTTTCAGACGACGATGGCCCACTACCACTCACTTACACCTGCCTGATGCGCACGCCGGCGGATATCACACTTTATCACTTATAATAATACATTGAACTATATTATACACAGTATACACTACTGCCTACTATCACTTCACTATAATGGTCACACATTAACACTTATTGTACAATACACTACACTACATTATACGTTGTACTATACACTCGCTATGCAAATATGCATTACTGGTCACTAGCTTTATTACCCTCATTATCATCACTAGAACTATCGTCCTCATCACTAGAGCTAAGAAATATTATCAGTAAATCAACCAATTCATCAACTGTCATGTCGAGATCCCACATGCATTGTTCCTCTTTGTGGACATGCATAATGCAATTACTCCATGTTTCTGCTGTAACCAGATTAATCTCGTGCAAGAGTGATTTTACATCCTGCAATTTAAATGTTGTATTCATTCGTGCTACTCCATTTTTTATCTGGGCCCAGATTAACTCAATGAGATTTAGTTCACAGTGGTATGGTGGCAAGCTGTAATCCCATGAGCTGCAGCCATTTCATCCACTACATACTTAATGTATTGGCTTTTTTCTCTCTCCCTAATTTTCAGTAATTCGGGTTTAAGCATTATTCTGTCGAATTCGATCTTTTTCGATTTTAACCAGTTTATAATTTCCGTCCTTCTCCATATTGATGTTGGCAGCTTCTCTAATCGTCGGCTACGGTAGACTGCATTATCCATTACAATCGCAGCATCAGGTTCCATATGTGGCAAAACAGATTCAAATTATTTTTCAAATACTCGGCTATCCATATCCTCATGATAGTCTCATGTTCGTCATGAAACAAGTAAAGTCTGTTCCAAAAATCCTACTGTACTTCCTATAATCCATTCATACCTACACGATTTTATCTCCTGATATTCCTGCCTTTTTAAATGAGGGCGCTTACCATTACGAGAACACGCTGTAGACCTTGAATTATAGCTGAATTGCTCTCTATTTTAAGAATACAAACCCAAAGTCTCTAATAAATTAATTAAAATCACAATTAAATTAACGGAAAGATAACCTCGGACTCTCCCGCGCGTGCGCCTATTTGCCTCTGCTTACAGAATAACCCGGAACCGAATGAACGCAACCCAATTGACGTCACGCGCCAAACACCAGTGAAAGTGTAGAACTTGCTGTGGCAGAAGAATATCTGGTGCATGCCAAACGAAACCCAATTGACATCACGCACCAAACACCAATTAAAGCTAGAATGTGCTGCAGCATAAGAATTCTTAAAACTGTGCAGTATCGACAGCTGTGGGAGAATGCGGCACACACAATTTTATACAAAGAATTTAAAAACGGCTCGTATTTCTCCTTGTGCTAAAAATAGTGAGCCGGATTAAAGATGAAATCACTGCCTATTATTTTGAGATACGACTGAAGTCACCTTGAATTTTTCAATTAATCTTCGCAGTTCATTAAAATTAAATCGCTATTCCGACCATATTTTTTTACGAAAATTGCGAACTGTAGCTAAACCTTCATTATATTTAAAATATTGCTCAACAATGAAAAGGCGTTGTAGCGCTTCATTTTTAATAACCTTGACCTGTCACCTGTCACCTGCCAGGCTGTTTTTTTTTTTCGTTGGGAATATTTTACTTTACACATGGTGCAAAAATTAAATCTTGCATGAATGTTGGGACACCAGATATACATCCATTATAATTTATCTAAAAACTACGATAAATACGAATGTTGAAAAAATATGATCTAAACCTATTTTTTCTTAGTGAAGCTCCTATATATTTTTCGATATCCTGTCGAAACTACAGTAATATAAAGTTTGAAAGGTATATAAACTGTAACAGGCTTGTTTATGCAACAAGCAGAAACTCTTGCTTATCCAATATTACATTATTCAAAATTAATGGGATCAATATAGTTATAATGAGTTGCCCCTGGGTAAATACTTGAAAGTCTAACATCTAATATAAAGTTACATAATCCTTTAATCATAATTCCTCCCTAATGTTAAGGGGTTACAAAAAGCTTCAAACATTCGGATACATGCGAGATTTTTGTATTAATAATACACGAGGATTTACGTGACGAGAACGATTTTTAAACTTGGCAGTTTTATACATCTCGATGTGTTATTTTTTATTTCAACTTTGTGACCTCAATTTTTTGTAAAAAATACACCATTTTGATAAATTAACAAATTAAAAATTTTGAAAATGTTTATTCTTGATTTGAATTAGTTTAATACATTTTAAAGTAATTTAATAATAGTAGTAACTTCTTATAGTTATTTATACCATTGGTAAATTATAATTAACTGCTGCGTGGTGTATAACACTTTATCTGCTCCCACAGTTCTTTATGGTTCATGAAATAAAGATTAGGTTTTATTTTTGGACACTTCTTAATCAATTCATTTTGACATTATTCGAAATCTTGCAAAGTCGCCCTTGTTGTTTGGATTTTGTCGTTTCTAAAGTGTTTATAAACAAAGCTACATAAAAGTTGCAATTTTGCTGGTTTGAATTATTATTTCAAATAGAAAGTGCAGCAAATGCTACCTGCGAATTTTTATTACCCGAGAAGTCGAAAATGTGCTACAGATAAGCATATAGAAATTTCAAAGAATGGTGTTAGAACAAAAATACTGGTGTTTCTGAAATGTCACTGCCAGCATATTTCATGGAGAAGTCAAAACCTTTAAAGTCACCGGCGAGTTTGTAGAGTGCCGTTGGCCATTTATTTATTTAATTAGTTTAATTGGATGAGAGCAAATTACCCGCGAGTCGAGCCGAAACCGTCCGTTACCCCACTCTGTCGAGTGCCGCGCGCATAATCCCACCAAGACTCCTGCTTAGTCAAGGGGGGATTGAGGCAATAAAACCAACGTTCCTGGATGAAAATACTTAGTTCATATCCTGAACTCGAAGAGCTCCACTTTCAGCCTGAGGACCACCCCGAGGACCCAAAACCGACCAGAGACCGCCATCCGACCCAAGGAGTTAGCCGCCGGGAGCCACTATCCGGAATAAGTAAGCAAATTGTATTTTTCCTATGTTTACCTGTCCTGCTATGGTATATGTCTGGCCGTTGTGAACTCTGGCAAGACAGTACTACCACAGCGTTGTCGGCGAAGGTTTGGCTAGGTGCTCCACCGCCAGCGGAAGACGTTGAGTGCAGGCTCGTACGGCAGCAGCGTTATCGGCGACGGTTTGGCTGGGTGCTCCACCGCCCTCGTTCGACAAACGTTGTGAGCCCCTTTACTGAAACTGCTGGTTTGGCTGGGTGCTCCAGCGCCAGTAGAGGACGTGAAGGTGTCAGACTGTACGGCAACAGCGTTGTCGGCGAAGGTTTGGCTAGGTGCTCCACCGCCTAAGCTTGATAAACGCTGTAAGGCACAATAACCGAAACTGCTGGTTCGGCTGGGTGCTCCACCGCCAGTAGAAGACGTTGTGTGTCGGCTGTGCAGCGACGGATAGACCCTCGAAGTTTGGCTGGGTACTTCACCGCTTCTGGGAGAAATCTGTCGGCCATCCCGCATCTGAACTCGCACCTCGCCCAGACTTTGCCTCCTGTTCACCAACATAATTCATTTTCCTGACTACCGTTTGCTTATTTATGCCCATTATAAACTGCTTTGCTTGGCTTTCTCCCTGGCTGGTTAAACCTCCGCATAATTTCTGTCGCTTTGCTAGAAACTGCCGCCGATATTTATTTGTAGAATTACAGTAACCCGTAATTATTTTTCTGTTTCAGAACCATTGGGGACAATTTATTTATTGATTATTTATTGCTCTAATTTATTAACCTTATTTATTCTTCCCTTTCTAGCACCGACCGAAATTTAAAACCGAATATTATTCTGGCGTACCGTTTCGTAAAGTATTAGATTGGTTATTAAATAAACCAAACGTCAAATACTCCGCTTTCCTACCGTACCAATTTTGAGTCCTGATATTTGACTATGTGCTAAATTTATATTTATTTACAGCACCGAAAAACCGCATCGGCATTTTAAATCCGTCGTAAATAATTATTGCTCTAACCCATTTTATTTTTATTACACCGCTTGTAAATTATTTGTATATTTCTGTTAGTATATAACTAACTAATTGTAAATAGAATCTATTTTACTTTTGTTTGTTTCAAATTCAATAGGCCTGATTAATATAAAATAAATCTAGTAAATATATTTCCAGTTTGTATTCATTTTTAACACCGACAAGTTTGATAAAATTCCGATTAGTAAAAAAGGGTCTTCTTATCTTTTTGTGACCTACACTGATAAGTCCGTTTATTTTAAAAGTAGAGTAACACTACACTCAGAGAACTACTTCGATTAAAAGTAAGAGAAATTACAGACCCCTGGATTTAAACTTTCTTCACTGCAGCTATCCCGAGTACTTACTCTAAACCGAGGGTAGGGTTCACGTGGAGTTTCCCCCACGTAAAAGATAGGGAAACTGGCGCCCGAGACAAACCGAACAAAAAGGTTTTAATCCGGAGTATGTTCCTGTGACGTCACTCACCACCGCCGACTGCCGACCACCGCTGCCGATAAACTAGTAGTCGAGGGTCGTCACAAAATTAGGCATCCAAACAGGGACGTCGGTGACGTCAATAAATATAGTAAATTAGAATTCGCAATTGCGAATTAAGATTCCGTTTAGAGTTGGTAGTATACCGGGGGCGGCCACAAGTAACGTCTGAACCGAACCGTCACCACCAAAAATCAAAACCAAGTAAAGTACGTTATAAATTGCAGAAAGTTATGTTGCTGACGGTTTAAGTAACAATAATTATCCAGATTGTATAAATGTTACTAAATGTAATAACTGTACAATTACTATAAATATTCACTCATAATAATTAATGAAATATAATGTTCATCAAATATTTCTATTTATTTGTTCAGAAAATAGCTCGAAATCCCTTTTTTCCCTAGGGAGGTAAGTTACCTCACTTAGCTCCCATTTTCCATAGTAACTTCCACTTCTACGGTAAAATCCATTTACCGCCTTAAAAACAATGTATTAATAGTCTATTTACCATAGTGGGAGCAGATAAAAGTAATTTACATTACTTCATCAATCGATATTGCGCTCTAACTTTTTAAAATTATTATTGGCAATAATTCGCGCCCATAAAAAAGACATTCCTCTTGTTTCATGTGGATATCGTTAACAGGTTTCGAGAAAAATTTACCTTAGAATAAGGTGGAATGTTTTAGTATTCTTATGCTAAGAATCGTGTGTTGTATTGTGCATAACATTCCTCATGTTTATCTCTACTTTCTTATTTGAAAAAAATGGTATGTTGTAGAAAATGTGGTTTAAAAAATATACTTGGAAAAACAATTGGACATAAATCGAAGTAAACAAATTTTTGTAATTCTTACCGCACACTGTAAAGTATTATAACATATTTTACCTACGATCACTACTGTAAATACTTAAAAACACACCATCTGCGATCAATGTAAGATTCCTATTACGTACGGTAAAAAAATCGCACAGTTTTCCTAGCAACCGCCTAGCAACGGCCAATACAATACTGTTTGTATTGACCGTTGCTAGGCAAACTGTACGACTTTTTTAACAAACTGTGCGCTTTTTTTACCATACAACATAATAGGAATCTTGCATTGATCGCAGACGATGTATTTTTAAGTATTTAAAGTAGTGGTCGTAGGTAAAGTATAGTACGTAATACCTGGTGTAATGCAATTACGCACTCATGGAATTAC